TAATGTAATTTTCTCTACTTTCTCAAGAAATATCAACAGTTGTATGTGTCTACAGCTAAGCAGCTTTAACATCAAGAAGAGCTACGCGGTAACTAGCTTAGTCAGTCAGCTAAGGAACTACAGTTAGAAGGATTACTTAGATGTGAAAAGTGCTATGAATCTCGCTTGCGGTTAGGAAAGAGAGGAGTCCACAAGTATCAACAATGAACGAACTAAGGCTACGTTCAAACGGTGCCAAACGAATTTTCGACAGGCCAAAGATTTCGACCGGACATTCTGTTCACACGGAACCGCGCGAAAGTTTCGTTCTGATCAGATGGAACTGGTAATAAGATGAATTTTATGACATTTTTCAGCGTTTTACCGTCTCCTCATGCGCAAGACGCTTCTTAACCCAATGCAAAATGGCGTCCAGCGTTTTCGCTGCTTCGACGTTTTCGATTTACAGAAAGATGTACGACGTTTTTTAACTCGATTTTGTGACATTATCAAGACATCAACACAACGTCGCCTACGTGCGTGGTAAGTTAGGCATGGCCTACATATTTACGAGAAAAAAATTTGTCCTCTATTTTGGTGTTCAAGTTTTCCAACGCTTGGGCGTCCAAATTTCCTCACGTTTGGCGTGGTTCCATGTGAACGAAACGCCCAAACGCACGAATTTTCCACTGATGGAAAATTCGTCCGGTACCGTGTGAACCGTAGCCTGATGAGAAGCTAAGAATCGTTCCACTTCAACCATGACAGACGCAATTAGTAAGCGACGAAAATGCCTTGAATTTGAAAGTAACGCGCTATGACATCAGAAACAGATAAAGTGCAACCACACTTTCTTTCTCCAAACTAATACAACATTAGTATTACATTTAACAAAATATAAGCTAAAGACAAGCATTCCCAGACAAAAACTGTAAAGCACGCAAACTTGATCCACCTTGCTACCCAACTGACAAACCCAATAACTTAGTTAAGATTATAAATTAAGAGCAACATCAGGGTAGCGACAAATACGGGAAATCCTTCAGGCGTCTTACAGCAAGCCTTTGGGACTCTTACAAACAGGAATGTAGCAGGGAGCGCTCGGATCGAGGCCACTGTTGGACAACTCAATGTGATTTGGAGAGATGAGATGATTGGAGGCGAAGCGAGGAACTCCGGGCGAATCGCCGGCAGTGTAGGTTGTAGCGGTGGGCATGACAGCCATCACTTCAGCGATCTTCAGCTTCAAGGATTCGATCTCTCGATCCTTGGTCTTAAGGTTGGTTTGTGCAATCTCCAGCTGTCTGCGCGTGTCGCCTAACGCCGAGAACAAGTCCAGCTTCAAGCGAGTCTCCGAGCTCAAGCTGTTTTCTAGGTGAGTGTTTTTGCCTTGCATAGCTGTCAGCGCAGACATTAACACCTCCGTTTCCTTCTTCAGCTGCATGCTGTCATATTCCCTGGTCTTCTGTCGCAGCGTTTCAGCCTCCTTGTCGACGCGTTTTATTTCTTCTTCCTTCTCCTGCAGAAGAGCACGCAACTGGCGGCTGTCTTCTTCCAGCTCGATCCTAAGCGCATTACACGCATCATGGCCTGTCGTTTCATCGCGCTGCTTTGCTGCGGCGTCCTCAGCTTTTTGTCTTTTGCGCTCCTCGCGCAACTGACTCTCCGCCAAAAGCCGGGAATCTCGCTCAGTTTTTAGCTTTCGTTCCAGAGAGGAGACTGTATTACGATCTTGCTGGCGCGCAGACGACATGTTTTGCAATCTGTGAATAAAATCATAAACATTCCATTATTTTTGCGACTTAACCCTTCACCTCTAAGAGTGACTAGCATCTAATTTCTCCTTACAGAATCACCCCTGTAGCAAACTTTAAGCTCGTGTAAATAAAGGAAATAATCCCCAACTACAGAAGCTATCGATTGTTACACAAATTCTTAATGTCAGTACCATATAAAATGTGATTGGAAGAGTATGGAGAATATGCATGCTGATATTGGGGCGTGAGGGTAAAAGTGCCTTTTCATTTAGTGCCGTAAAACCAAAACCAAACTAATAACGACAGTTAATAAGAACAAGGGGAAATATTACAAGCCAATGAGGACTCCAACTTAAAACCAGCAAACTACCTGAAACGCGGGGAAACGCGAGCGGCCAGGTCATGTCTGGTTTTAGTTTAGCATCTGATTGGTTGAGAATTTCGCGCGAGTTTTCTAAACCAACTACAAAGCGGTGTGAAGTAAAACCAAAGCAATCTCGATTCCTTCTCGACAGACAATCGAAAGTTGCTCTAATCAACAATTAGATAACGTGCTAGAGATTTCTAGCGCACGATAACAATTGAGGGCAAAGCCCAAATCAATTTCAAGCATAGAGATTGAGAGCGAATAATCTAATTGTTTTAGTATAAATATACAAGCCACTCAAAGTATACAACCGCGCAATGTCAGGCAACTCACTCCATCCACTTAGAATGATATCTACCAAGGAATTGATGGCGAGTAGCACAGCCAATCAGACTACAGCATTTGTGACGGAATGCTAGCGGTGATATACTCGAGAACAAGAATACTTTCAAAACGAAAGCTATGCAGAAAAGATAAAAATTTCCTCAATGCATCCAATTCATTTCCTAACCCTCCCTTTTGCTGAGTCTCACGTGAATGCCCGGAATTATCCAACCTCCAAAGAAACAAAGGAAACAAATCTGAACGAAGGAAAGCAAACAACCTTCTTCAGGCACGGGACTACCACTTGATCAAGTTTTGAATGATTTTGGTTGGGTAATCTGATAGGTCAGATAAGCATCACAAGTTTTCCGTTTAAAATTTCCAAAGAACCTGTTGTTCTGCATCGACAGAAAAGTTTTCCCAACAAATGAGATCGGGTAGTACAGGACCCTATGAACACTGTAGTTCCAGATTGTCGAAAAAGAAACTTGAATGTATTCCGAATTTAGTTATTCTTTAGGGTGAGAGAGAAACGAACTACTGGCTCTATTGCATATAAACACCTCAGCTCTACTTACTTCTGTTGAATAACCTCGCACTCAGCCTTTAACTGCTGTAATTCTACCTTAGTGGAGCGCTCACTGGCCATCAGGCTGTGCATAGTGGACCTCAGTTCCTGCTCTCCCTGCCGACTCGTCTGCAGTTCCACTCTGAGTCGTTTACTATCATTCTCTAGTTGGGATAAATTGCTCTCAGCACGACGACTGAAAGTAATAATAAAAGCAAGAAATAAAAAAACAAAAAAAACAAAACACTTTTAGTCTTGGTTTGAAGGGAAATACATCTTTCCAATCAGTACGCTACATTTTAACCCGGGATGACAGCAAAGACACTCGTCAGATAGGGATTGGAAAAAATTAGAAGGGAGAAAAAATGTCTCTTTTTCCATGGGAAAAACGGCAAAAGAAGCAGTTATAAATCAAGAGGGGTTAAGAACAGTTAAGGATAAAGAAGATTGAACGTTGTTACTTTCACAATGCACACACTGCTATTTAGCTCTTTGTGGTTCTGAAGGAACTCGTACCCCACGGAGACATAATAAATGCTTCGCTTACCGTAGCAGCCTCTCCTCTTTAAGTTGAGAAAAGAGACTGGGTCCAAGGTCAACTGACTGAGATTTCTCATGTCCCTGAGAAATTAAGAGAGGATCACAGCCATGAGACCAACAAGGAAAGGAATAAACAAACACAACAACAACAAAACCGGCCTAAAAATAGAGCGACTGAGAGCTTCTCAGACACACCTTGGGTGAGTTACTCCTGCTGTTCTTTCGACTGTTATTGATGGAGCTACTCGACGCACTTAAAGAATCACTATCAGACTCATCATTGTCCTCTTCGTCATTCTCGTCGTACTCCTTCAACTTTTCATTTCCTTTTGCGCCATTTTTCTTTGAGGATTTTCCTATAACTCCATTGAGTGCTGCGCGAGGTTGCTGCCCTACTTTCCCGCTCTTATGACTCCCCTCTAACGAAAGTTTATCAAGTTCATTTAAGTTATGATCCTCGCTGGTCTTCTTCGATGTAAAGTTTGAAAGCACGTCAAGTTCTTTCAACAATGCATTTCCCTTCAAAGTAGGCCTTGACTCTAGATCACTTAGTTTTAAGCCACGACGACTGGCCTCTTTAGCTATTAAGAGTTCAAGATCTGTTTTAGTGTTAATTCCATTTGTCATTACTGGTACAGGCCGACCTCTTGGTGATGCGACTTCGCCATTAGCAACTTTACCATTACATATAGCTGAAAGTTAAGAATGAAGAAAACCAAGTCAATAATATATCTTTCTCAAAAAATTTTTGACCTTCAGCTGTACATGTACACAAAAATAGTTAAACTGCGTGTACGGCTCTGCCATGCTCCAGTTTCCGTTTCAATTCAGCGACTTTGCGGTGTAGTCATCTCTATCCAAGTTACCATTTGGCGCCCCCAAATCTTCAAATGTTCTTCAGAAATGAAACTTTAGTCACCAATGAAGTTAAAAAAAACAAAAACAACAAAAACAATCAAAGAAAAGCACAATATTCTTAACTGCACAAAACAACTCTGGAGAAAAAGGCAATGACGTAGTATAAATAAAATTTCTTGTAAAAGTTTACTTCACATCAACTAAAGACCCTGAATGATAAGAAGTGGAAAGCTTAAGCTTTGGAGCACGAATACTAAATACAGGAAGGCAATCTGGCAACCTAAAAGTTTAGTTGCCAAAATGTTTTGACTACCTGAAATAAACACAATGGTCACAGCTTGGAGAAATGTGGAATTTATCTATCCAAACATAATAATTTGGTGTAAACGTAATTTAAATTTGATTTGTAAAAAATTATATAAATTTATTTTTTGATGACCATCTGCCATTCACTAAACCTTCCCTTACGTACTAACCATCTAACTCCAGTTTTAAACAAAGGGAAATTCCATAAAAATCCTGTGCAAGGCAACATCATACCTCTTGATGATCTCTCTGTTGCCTCTGCATGGTTATTTGTTTCAGGAGGCAGTGCCAGATTAATTAGCTGCATATAAAACTCATTTTCTTTAGCAACATGCTGTACTCTTCTCTGTGAAATGGAGTAAAATAAAAATAAACAAATAAGAACCCCCAATGGAACATAACCTTAGCACCTACAGGTTTGTCAAATTAAGCTGGCTCTGAAAAATCCACCAGCTGCAGTGGAAGCATGACAGCGTGCCTCAAATTTTGTATCATAAACTGATTCCTAAAAATATTCTTTGAATACCCTGCAAATAGCAAATACTAACCCACAAGAATTTTCTGTGACTCTTTTTTTTTTTCTTTTGTCTTGATTTCTCTCAGATTAGACATTCCTTAGTGATTAATTGGTCACAGAAAACTCAGAATTACAATAAAATAAAGAGATTTCTCAGAAAGTGAAATTCCTTGCGAACAAAAATTTACCACCTGTTTCCTCCATAAATGCATTTTTCTGACAGATGACAAAGTAAATGTGAATATATTTTGGGGGCCTGAATAACAGCTGAGAAAATAGGCCCTGTCTACCATTCACAGCTGACAGTGCTCTACATTGCTACTGCATTCCATACATAAATTATAAAAATTGAAAAACTTCAGGAGAACATAAGAGATGTTTTTCTCAAATTGCTGCTGGATGAAAGAGCTTGCTATTTGGTCACAGACAGGGAACAGTTGTCACCCACAACTAAAAAAAAATTTAGTTGTTCTAACTGCCTTCTCATTTCTAATTACACTGGCATACATAAATTTTCAGGATGTGTCTGTTTCTCTTCAGGTTAATGCCAATATGAAGGGTTTGTTCAAAGCTTAACTACAAAATCACCCTTCATCAGAAAGAATAACTATCCCTATGGAGGAATGGTTGTGCTTTGTGTCCAAATTTGACAATAAATTTTGATGTTTCAGCTACCATGTAAGTGATCATTGCCATCAGCAATTTGTGAAATGAATGAATTTATTTATGTTTAAATCTGAAGCCAATACTGTAGCCATAATTCAAACTACATGCTCATCCACACGCACAAATTTCACACTCTCTGCATGATGACTTCTTGATCATCTACTGTGCTCACGAGAGAAATGATCACACGTGGCCATTTAACATCATGCTGAGAGCTGTCCTTACCTGACGCATTTTATAGCCTACATAACTCTTAACACCATAGCCAAGTGTAACAACAGGATAACCAATGCTGAAAAAAAAAAAAAGATCAGTCAAAGAATTCTTTCATTAAATCAGATATTGCCTCAAAAAGGGCAACAGATTCCCATCAGTAGCCAACAAAAAAAGAGGGTTCGCTTTTAGATATCAGAAGTGAAGTGGCAAGTTTAGGGAGGGGAATTTTCTTCAAAAATATTCTACATACAAGTAAAATATCTGAGGGAGGAATTAATAAAGTAATGGTTATTGCTCAAGAACACAAGGTATATCAGCCCTAATTTAGGTCTATACGTCCTCAATATTGTGTTAGTATTATAAGAACAAAATTTACATGCCAATATTCATAGCACTTAAAACAGTAAAATCTGCTATCAGCTAAATATCTCAAAATGACAAGTGAAAGCTTAATGTACAGAGGAGACATCAGTTGATAACTCTAAATATTAACAAAGCTGTATTAAAACACTGAAAATCAGTATAATGCGGGCAAAATGAGACAAAAAGAGCATTAATTTAAAAGTAGCAGCTCTGTGCAAGTCACACATTCTATATAGGAGTCTACAGAATGTTAACCAGGGTTTTCTTTGAGAAATTTAGTTGCAAGAGAACTGTGTGAAGAAACAGGAAAAAATTCTCAACAAATTTTCTTAAGAACATGCACAAGCCATCAAATGTAGACAGAGAATTATGCATGCCACCCAGAGAATTCTCTGATATCTAATGTATACAAAGCACCCTGTTTTCCTGCTGTGACAAACTCACTGTAGCATGACAATTGGTCAGATGTACTCACTTTTCCTAAAGCCTCAGGCTGTTATGTCTGGGCATCAAAACATGATGCACTTACAAATTTTCATTCACAATAAAATTGTGATTATTCAAATTTCTAGTGGTAAAAGAGTTGGTTTGAATGATTGGGAGGGTTGGAAAATTAGGGGTTGAAAATCAGTGCTCAAGTGGGTTAATGAAGCATCTTTAAACCTGAACTACTAGGGTTTTCAGAAACAAGAGGGCTAGTGAAATAAAAATTCTACTGTAGGTGGTGCAGTAGACTTTTATTATTTAAGCAAGAAAAAAGGCATTCATTGTCAACAAATACTTGACTAACCAGCCTTTCAGTTGCATCAAATAATGTCAAACAAATTTAGGAGGGAAATGGTGTAAGTGAAAACAAGATCACAAGCTCAGTTGACAATGGGAGGCTTGTGTGGTTACAACAGCTTAAGACACAACTTCCTATTAACTAGAGAAATTTTCTTATATTTCAAAAAAACTCTTGGAGCAAATTCTCTGTGCCTGCTTTATCTGTGAATTTCATTTAAGGCAGTGCCATGAGGAAAACGGTTGACTGTGCTTTTATCCAGATTATCTTCATTAAAAATGAACAATTTGTATCACAGTGGTTTAAAATTAACGGCAAGATATAGAACGGGTTCGAACAAAATAACCAAAGAAAGTGGTACAATGTACGCGAAGCAAGTAGGAAACTACAATTGTGAAATGAAAAGATTATTTAAAAAAATAACCTTCACGTTTTTCGTTTAAATTTTGAAGAGACGAAATCCTCTTTGAGCTTCCATCTAAGCATCTTAAACTAAATCGTAGTTAAATGATTAATTACTCGCAAAAGTGAGAACTCCCGAAGTCTCAACAGAAAAACTGACATAAAAATGGCAGTACATTACAAATTGGAGATATTTTATTCATCAAGATAATATCAGAAAATGGAATCTCATGCTTGAAAAAGCCAAATTTTGAGAAAAACCTTTCGACGAAGCTTTCTGACTACAATAGGACCTTACTTCCGACGCTAATACGAACTGCTTTGCATGAAATAACCAGCTGCCTCTGAAAATGTCAGGGAAGAATATAAATTAGGGAAGCACTTTACTTTTTTCCCGAGAAAGTGCTTCCACCTCCTTGTTAAAAGAAAGTATAACTCATCATAGACAGCCAAATTAATAGTATCACGGCAATGCAAAAAGCTCAAACTTACCAATGAGCGGCGAACGGTCGACATAAGTCTAAATGAAATGGGAGATTTTTCAGTTCGCGAAGTCGAACCGACGCTTCTACATATACAAACAGTAACCATAGACTAACGGTTGGAACACATAAACCACGATCTGAAAACAGAACAAGCCGTCAATAATTAGACTATAGAATGATGAAATATTTAACCATAAACTTCCAATAGACTTGTGAAAACTCTGTAACGTTTATATCTGATTCACGGCGATTTCAGGAATACTATATCTTGATCCACCAGCCGACCTGACGAAATGTAAACATTGGAAATTTTCCTCGAGTGAATGAAGTTATACCCGCCTTTAACAACTTTTATCGGCTAAAAATTATCTCTCTAGGATTACCTGTATGCCAGACGAACTGAACCCAGACGTATGTGCTAGCCGCAAAGAATAACCAATGCACAGGGAGAAACATCAAACATATTAAGTCTGAACAGAACGCCAGTGTGAGAAACAGAAGAGAGAAAGCCTGAAAAAATGTAACAGGAAAATTCAAAACTAAAACGAGATTACAGACGCTAGGACAATTTCAAAGTAAAACCGCATTAGCCTAGCAATGTTGGGATTATTCTGAGGGCCAATGAATAACGAGAAACGCATGATTTACGGTAAATTACGTGAAAATAGTAACTCGACTTACCAAACCTTGGTACTTGAACGAGTCGTAAGCACTCCGTAACAGTAGCCAAAAAGGCCAAAGATATTCAAAGCGAAATTCCAATAGGAAGTCGGCAGTCAACACCATAATCCATACTAAGAAAAATCTGACGTACAGAAATACACTAGATGAAACAGAAATTAAGAACAGATCAGAAAACCAACCATAAATTCATGGTTTTCAATGCGAGCGGCCAGAGGCCAATGTTTCTGACTCAACATTTCGACTTTTACCTTCCATATATCGATTCTGTGATGCGAGAACGTTTTAAAGGTCTTCTAAGTTTCGAAGGATCAATACTTCGTCTCTTCATTTCGACATGTGGTTCATCGAGTGTGGTTTACGGTAAGCGTGAATATGAAAAATATAGAATTAACACAGTGAGGAGAACGAATAACTAAACTGATTTCCCTGAGTAATCGACCATTGCGCTTGCGTGAAGTGACGTCACATGGAGCTATCACATGGCCACCGTTCCCTCGAACCCGCCCCTGTCGTGTCCTCCAGGGAATTAACCAGGCATGAAGGAAAAATTGCATTTACAACTACAATCTCACCCTTTTCAAATAAAATCATTTCCAGTTAGTTCCTTCAAAGCAGGGTTAATTTCTCGTCATTTCTCATTAGAATAGGCCACTATGGACTAGGTTTGACTGAGGGGTCCCTTCGACTACCTTAACCGCTCTTAAGCTGGGCAGTTGCACGTGAGACTTTCCAAATATGATTATTATTCCACTAATAAAAAAAACTTATCATTTCGCAAAATTGCTCCAATAACTGACAAACGAATGTAATCTTTGTGAACTCACAATACCTTAGTTAGCTTCTTATCCAATCATAACAGGTTCCCATTGGTATCAAAACATCTCCAGGTTTAAACCAAGGGGAAGTAAAATTAGTTCGAGTTAACGAATCAACCGAGTTCGAGCTAACCGCAACGCAAGAGCCCCCCTCCCCCACCGCCATCCCCACGAGCAATTTGCCAGTGTGCTATTACTCATCTACTTTTCTGTGTGAGAGAGTTTCAATTTTCCTGCTCAAAAGCACAATACGATGACCCAGCTAGTATTAAAAACCCAACCCGAAGTCCTGACCACAGTGTGCTGTGGCCTGGATTGATTCAAGTAAAGAAAAGGAGGTGAGATTCAGTTTCATTCATCATCCATTTTATTAAGAAAGAAGAAGAAAAATCCATAAAAATTGAGAACAATTTATTATGGTTTGATGGATTCTTTTTCAACTTTAGCCCTATACGGGGACTAACTTAAGGTGAATTTCCAATACCTAATTGAATCGCCATGAACGGCTTATACGGTTTTAATATGCTTATATGCCTATATGCTTTTCATCTGTTGACTTGAACCCTAATTCTTCTTCATCAGAAGTAATCCCCTTATTTTCAATTGCTCCATCGATGACAGTGTCATCATCACGCTGGGTGCTGCCCTTTCCGTTTTTATCAATTTGCTGGGCTTGGGTGCCATCCTCAGAAAGTTGCGATGCAGTCTTCTGGTGAGCAGGAATCTCCTCCTCATTCGCAAGGCATGCTAGTTGTAAACCGTTGCCAAATACTTGGGAATCCTTTTGTCGCACCACACCTCCACTCATCTCTTCGGTTTCGGCCTCAGTCGAGGAAGGTTTAATAACAACGGGCTTCCAGCACATGAAAGACAAGTAGACGGGCATGATACACAGTCCGTGTAGGAGACCAAGCACGACAATTCCGAAGAACATTTTGAAGAAAATCCGGAAGATTTCCGAAGCTGCAAATGCAAGTATGACCATACCAAGAAAAGTACTACAACCTGATAGACACAAACAAAATGAAAAAACAGTTGAGTTTTTAATTTACAAAAATCTATCAAAACTGCCGCATCAAGGCAATGTCGGAAAAAAATCATTTATTGATAGTTATCAAATTTTGATTCTTTAGGTCTGTCAGCTCGACAACCTAGGGAACTTGAACTTATATTTTCTTGCTCATATTCTCTGGATCGATAGAACGATACTCGATACTCGTACTTGAATATTTTTTTTTGTTCGCAAGGTCTCAAGTTTTTTTTCCCTGTTTCTGCTTCCTTTTGCAGTTTTCTACCAACCTACCAATTTCTTCTCGTAACTTTTGCGCGACCCCTGCGGATGCCTTACGTTTGACCGCTGTGTCATCTACAGTGTACCACTCACCTCCCATGAGGACACTCGCACCTAGTGTGCTTAGAGCCTCTATCACTCGCTCATTGGCTGTTGCTTTGTCAGATGTCACGTAAGCATGCGCGACGTGCGCACTATAATCAACTGCAAAACCAATAGCCATGACAAGATTGACCATAGAGACTGTGTTCAGGGATACTCCCCAGATGACCATTAAACCAAATAACTCGCATATCAGGGCCGCAAAGTTAAGCAACACGAGGAGCGTCACGGTGAAGTCCACCAAAAAGGGGCTCGTGATGATTACGACCGTAAGGCCCGCGATCAATAGGTTCCTTATAGTCTCCCTTGACGTGATAGCGTACTGTTCAATGAAAATGAAATTCCGATTGATCGGAAATGCATTTAGTTTCGATCTTTCGGTTATTTTTTCTCGTAACGTGATCATTGCATCTTTTCGAAAAGTGGAGCTGGCAGAATCCTTCATAAAACCGAGTATGCGAGAAGCTTCCAACTTTGAGTTGTCTGCGGAGAAACGTAAGTCTTGATTGAAATATGCAAAGTCAGGGATACGGAGGAACGCTTTCAATTCAGGCAAAAACCATTCACCAGTTATGTTCTTATTAGACTTCTTAGCATACTGTGCAAATGCATCCATCCACGAGAAAGACAGGTTTTTATAGTGTTTATTCTCCGTGACGATTGACGTAAGTGCTCTGATTTGTTCCTGAGTGGAGCTCATTCCGTAATCGACCCCACCAGTCTCCACGATGCTCACTGGAATGGAAAGTTCAAAGTGATTTTGTTGAGCGGTCAGAAATCGTTTCAAGTATGAATCATCCTTTGCTAAGATTCTCCTATCAAACTCCTCGTCCACTTGAGTGACTCCATAAATCCCAGCACCAAGGAGAGACAGTGAGAGGAAAATGACTACAATTTTAGTCGTCGGTTTTGTCACGAACTTGCCCCAGTACTCCATGGCACGATTTGACGTCTGTGGAAGAGGCTCATCCCAGGCAGGCGCACCTTCCTTCGGCGGAGGGGCATGGCAGAATGGTAAACAGTCTCTGCGCCCCGACTTAATGCGTCTTACGTCAAATGACATGATGGCCACGAAGTATGTGACGATCATGAGAAAAGAGAAAGTGACGGTCAAACCGGCGTAGATACAGAAATACCTAAACGGAAGAAGTCTTTTAGTTTACAAACAGGCAATCATGAAAATAAACTGAGCCGATTCTAACTCTGGTCTGGGTAGTAAGCTCTCGGTGGGAGGGGGAAAGGAATTTGTTGTCACGCTTTAGGAGGATTGCTACGAAAGTTGATCATTTCATTATTGTTACTTTATTTGACAAATTGATTACCAATGTGACTTACAACAGTCAAACTACAAATCAATCCCTTATGGTTTTCTTTTCAAAATTTAGAAAGACTGAAGTATCCTTAAAACATGCCACGTATTCAGTCACTAAAGCTTAGTGACCCACTATACTATTTTCCTTTCAATCTCTCACTCTGTAGGATGAAGTGAATAGCCCAGTTAGTCCAGGAGCTCCCCCGGGAACTCCTCAAGTTGCCAAACAATTGGTTATTATTATTACTGATCGAAAGAGGCTTCGTGAGCGAGAAAGAAGTGTCTTGCCTAAGATGATCAGTGCTACATTCGAGAAGAGGGATGTAATTTAGTGTAAGTTAAATTCTCACTTAGTTTGCTCTATTTTACCTTATGGCCGGAAATGACGTGGAAGTGCTAACAGCAAACGCTACCAAATCGGTCATTGTTGTCATGCAAACAGTCGGCGCCGAATGCTTCATAACCGCTTTGATCTTTTCAACCGTTGAAAGATCACGTGGCTGTCGATCAAGCTCATCTACCATGATAAACATGTCGTCGATGCCGACTCCAAGAACCAGGAATGGAAGCACTCCCACGAGACTGATAAATGGCACTCGGAACCACATACCAAGGCCAAGCCCCGCCAAAATACCCAAAGCCACTGCGAACACTCCTGCGTTAGCGAGCAGGGAATGGCCGGTCAGCGGATTTAAGAACTTTCCTAGTATGAGGCAAGCAAACGAGATCATGATGGTGAAAGTTATTGCCACAAGTGAGACATCAGACCCACTGCTCTCGGCGATAGCATCGTCCAAGCTCCTTTCACTTGAGTAATGGACTTCAAAGCAGGGAAGTTTGTCAACTAATGAAGCTACCTTGTCCACGAAATTCTTCTCCCAAGCGAGAACTTTTTCGTTCGTTTCATCGTCGCTAGGGTCTTGAATGAGATAAATCATTTGCAATGCTTTGGCTTCGGTTACGATTCCATCTTTGCGAATAGCATCACCAAACATACGGTTGAAGTTGAACCAGAAAGGGCGTCCATTGCGCATGAGCGAGCTGGTGTCGTTGTACGCTTTACTTAGTTCATGTTGAATCTGTGTTGGGTCTTTACCACTCAGTTTACTTTCATTGAACTGTAAGAATTCCAGCGGGTTGATCATCACGCATTCCTCTGCTGACCTTGATTTGTTCGCTGATAGTGTGACACAAAAATTGTTATACGATTCCAATTCTATAACTGCATTGTGAGCTTGAAAGGCCTGTCTTAGACACTCAGGAGAAAGAATATTCTGATTACCGGGCAATGCCACCAAAAGGATGATTTCCTCTCGAATCTTGACTCGAAAGTATTTCTCAGCAATTTCCAAGTCATTTATGGACTTGCTGTCTTGAGGTATGAACAGTTTTTCAGTTCTTGTTTCTGACTGGAACCAAACAAACCCCACGGAACAGACACTGACAAACACGAGACATATCGGGATTGTTATCAATGGACGTTTGGCGATCCCTGCACCAAACCAACCAAAGAAGCGTTCCAAAGAACGTAAAAACCAGCTGCAGAACGAGGACCACAGCAGACACAGATTGAGTCGGCGCGGACAGCAGCAGCTATAATAACCAAATAGAAAGTTAGGTTAGTTCTTGCAAACATTACTATTAAGAGTTTTTGAACCCCCCCCTCCCCTCAGTGTTATTGTTGGGTGTTTGTAAACCTTAGCTGCTGTCCTTGGCTCTCCAATCTGAGATCACCTGTGACACTTCGATGAGAGCCCCCTTCCTCTTTCCAGGGGTTAATAAAACTTGATTCTTTGGACAGGAAAGCTTACCAGAAGAGGAAGATTTGGCTTATTTCATAGAGGAGGAGGGGAGAACTCATCGAGAGACAATGTCTGATGCATTACTTTCCTCTTGAACTTTTGACAACCTTTAATGAGTACGGTACACAGTAGGCACTTCGTTTACGAAATTAACTATAGCTGCATCAAAAATGGAAACTTGCTCAGCCTTTCAAAAACAAGTATAATTTGTAAAGTATTCCCAACGTCACCCAAAAATTCACAATACAATGGTAAAAACCCCTCGTGGTTTATACGTGACGAGTGGTTAAGCTCAAAATCAATGGGTGACGCGTGAATTTTATAGAAAGGTATAATAAACTGAGATATGAAGTTTTAACTTTGAAATTCGTGAGGCTTGAAATACCATTTAAACTACACATGACGCGTACTTTTTCTCTAAAATCCGGTGGTAAATCGAGCTTTGGACCTCTTTACCTCCATTTGGTACCCGCTTCTAATTTGTGTTTTTATAATATTTTTTTTCTAAGGAGAAGGTGGCGTTTTAGAGTGGGGATGTGTAAAGAAAATGGCGCTAATGGAGAGTTATGTTGCTTTAAAATATACAAGTGTATTCCACCTTTAATTAGCCTTTGAATATGATCTCATGTCGTCGACTTAAACCAACTGGGGCTTTGTAAATAAAACCACGAGTTTTTCCCATCTGATGCCAGTTAAAACGTGTCAAACTGCATCCAAAGGCGAGATATTGTGACGTACATTCAGTGGCATATTGACTATTGGTTTTAACTCATCAAGAACTCGGAAGTTGAAATACTTATCTGGTATCTTCGAGTTATGTGACTTGATATTGATTCTCGTAACATTTTAGGGAGAGACGAAACCTGTTCAAATATTAAGAAGCTAACTTCGAAGCAAATACTGACATCTGTTACGTAACGCCGTTACGTAATATAGAGTTTCAGTTCTTTGTTAAAATTCGCAATTTTTTTTTATAAAATTTCCAATTTCTCAGAAGAATTTGCACTTGTGCATCCATGATCCATGCAATCATGGTTTCTCTGAGCGAAGAAGAAAAAGAAATTCAAAGATCACTGAGTTAAATTTCTCAAAGTTCGCCGAAAATTAAACGGTTTAATGAAAGCGCAAAGATATCAATCGTGCGAGAACTCTAAAGTAACTAGACGCATATCTGCGTGTACTTGGGCTTCTCTTTCTCAATGAAATTTGATTTTTATGTTGAAATATAGATTATGTGCGTTGCTTAATGTTTAAAAACAAAACGGCGACAACTTGATACTTGATTTACAGCTTTGAAAGTGTTTTCTACCCAGCTTCGTGACAAGATGGAATGGTCGTCTGGGAATTTGCATATGTAATGATTTCCAAAAAAACTACAATACTTTATTCTTGATCGTAAAGCTAGGGCGTGACGTAAATACTTTTTCTTTCATTAATCATTTTCTTTTAACATCGCATAGTTTGATGTTAGAATTAGACGTTGTAGAGTTCGTACTGGAATTCCGAGTACTTGGTGTACGATCACGTCTAAAAAATACGATGACGCTTCTGAAGATGCGTTTTATCAAGATTAAGATCTGATAGCTCATTTGGTATAACACGATTCTCTTTTTTTTGTCACTCATAAATGTTCGCTCGTAAATTGATCTCTCGAAGGGCACGCAGCCGAGCCGTTCCAAAAATGTTCGACTTCTTTTCGTGTGGATCTACCGCGAACGGCGTGTTCGTTCCTATGTGATTTCAGCTCCCTTGAAGTCATGGAATCCGTGCCATAACCTTTCAAATGAAAACTTCCTCTTATCTTGTTCTCAGCGATGTGCAGAGCACTGAGCCCTACTCTGCGCGTGCGGTTTAAGGCATAGACGGCGATACGTGACTGAACGAGGAAGAAAAAAAAGGGCCCGGAAATTTCACCTCGGGAGTCTCCTTTGAAAAGCCTGAATAATGACGACATGCATAACAAAGCTAAAAATATTAATTTTAGCTTCTGTTTAAGGTTTGATTCGTAACATTTCCCAGAGGATCTTTAACAGACCTCAATTAAATTTCAGTCTGCTTGTATTTCACCTGCAAGTTATTTCACCTATGAGAGAATATTCACAAGTGTGAATACGTGTTCTCAATGTGAAAGAACTGTTGTGACATAACACATATGTTATATTACACCCGTATTTTTGAGGCTGTTCGGAATTGTTTTTCGTTTTTCGCTGTTGAGAAGCGCTTAAACGTAATTTAAATTCGGAAAATGCCGTACTTGATAAATATATATATACCTCTTATTTGTTGACTTCACTTCGGCGGACGAATTCGAAACTTGTTTCATGGTTTTTGTGGCCGATGTCGAAGGCCGTTGTTATACCACGTACGCAAAGTTGTTGTGGCTATTCACTAGTCTCGCCGATCGGTAAAAGTTTTCCAATTGGAGTGAGAGAGAATCAATCTTTGAGTACTAATTCCTGACGTAAATCAAGTTATATTTACTGCATGCGTGAATCGCGCCGGCGAACTGAAGTGAAAATATTAATGTTTTCGATATGGTGAATATTTTAAATCAGAATACAAAACAGTTGCTTTTCAGATGTTTGATGATTGGAGGAGATGCTCAATCAGTATTTATAAATAAAGAGCGCACTTAGCTTGACGTAACAACGCTAAAACAATTAACAAAAACGTTAATGCAGGTTAAAATTACCCTGAGGCATTTTCTTCAATTAATTTTCCCTTCACAACCGTATGGAAAAAAATTAACTCTTAGATAAAACTGTTTTGCTTTTCTTTGAAAGTTGACGTGTCGTGTGAGGAGAGATATAATGATATATAAAAACACTCGAGATTAAAGGAAATCGAAAAAGCGTCGATCAAATCATTTAGTTAAGTGTAAAGTACACTAAGATTCCTTTTTTCTGTGTGAAGTGAACCGGAATCGCGCAACCTGCGTCATCGATGCGATATGGTAAAGAATCTTTAAGCACTTCTTAAACGTCACAATCGTTTCCAGAGTTTAAGAAGCAACGATACTGAGGATGAAATTGGAAAATAACGCTAGCGGAATGTTTTTCTGCCTGACATGAAGAGAGAAACAACAAGAGGACGATAACAGAGTGTCCCACACGAGTGGTCGGAATTTCGACCCATCCTACCTTTGTGAGTTGTAATGTTTGATTTAGGGGTAATATCATGAGCAGAAATTAGATGCTAGCCACTCTTAGAGGTTAAGGAGTTAAGTATGATATTTTTGTGGTACTTGTCGTTCCTTTCTCAAATGTGATGGTTCTATAATAATCACTATTTTAAGCATTTCATTTGCATGAGACTTAAAAGCCGTTTTATCAGCGTAAGGTTCACATCGGTGATTGTTTTCTAATTATGGAGATTATCACCTATCACTAATTAAGCCTCAAGTGCTTCAGATTGTTCATTGTACGGTCGTCTGTGTATACCTTTTACTTCGCATGAGGCACAGACGCAGTGTCAACTCCGATTCCAAGGTTAAGAAAACATATCCACATGAGAATATAAGCGCATAGATTTTTGTTAATAGTTATAAGCTGTTGTTAGAGTTGTAGTCGAGATAAGTTAAGTAGCACGCTTTTATTGGAATACAAATTACACGAGTTAAAAAAAAACTTATTTCGAAATTTTTACTGATACCAATGATTTATCTTATAGTAATGCAGGAAAAATACTTGCTTCATAAATTGGAACTAGTGCCAACTATAAACAGAACGGTACCGCGTAATGAAATGAAGTAATGAGGTTTTAACCGGAATATTTTCAAAATTTGAAAGGTGTGTTACTCTTTTTAACACATTAGGATCAATATCAGTATCTTGCCAACTGCCCACCTACCCCTCCCCTAACTCAACAGCAGTCAATTGACAACAATTTAAAGTTAATGTTGGGTTGGGGAGGGGTAGGTGGGCAGTTACCCAGATACTGATACTGATCCACACATTACTCCTTGGGTATTCATTACATACAATAATGTGATAAATGTCTTTTAAATTCCTTTTTTATAAATACTTTTCGAGCTTTGTGAAGCGAAGTAAAATAAAATCGCTCACTTTTCTCCAAGGCAGAAGTTATTTACTATTGGGAGTAGAGTTTTCACTGTTTTAGTTTTTTTGTTCATCGGGAATGGCCCACAAAACTCACGCTGTCACCTCAACCAATCAGGCACAAGCCTTAAAACAATTGCGATTAAGTCACACTTTTTCTCCCGCTCTAGAAGCGGTTTTTTGGGTTCTTTTGGATACTTAAGTTTTGAATTGTCGATTTGTTTATTTTAGTTTTGCTTTTATAACACTTAGTTTAAAAGCTCCGGGATCAAAATGGTTTTCAGTTGCCCGTGTGCTACTGATTGTCCCGATTTCATCTCTGAATTGGAAATATCTCTGTGAGATTAAACGTCAATAAGTTAGCTTAGTCAGCTAAGTCAGCAGTTTCAACAGACGTTTAGTGGAATACTGAGCAGCGTTACCCAAATAGTCTTAGGTGCCTCCTCTAGACGTTTGTTTCCCTTTCAGGATCAGGAACCCTTGTTAGTGCCCATTCATCAACGAATGCTTCGACGGAATCCGTCAATAGGCCTTGCGCGGTGTCTGTTTCTTGTTCTTCTCCGTGGCTGGCTTCATTTTTACCTATCAAAGTGGTTTTCTCTCTTCTATTTTCGTGCTGAACTTTGTTTTCTGTCACGTCGATCTCTTCCACTCTGACGTCTCCACTGCCAAGTTTCCCAGAGGCGCCCCCTAGTGAGGGGGATCTGATAATAACAGACGGTCTCCACCACAGCAAGGACAAATAAACAGGCAGGATGCACAGGCCGTGAAGAAGACCGAGTACGACAATGCCGAAGAACATTTTGAAGAATATTCGGAAGATCTCCGATGCGGCAAATGCAAGAACGACCATGCCAAGGAAGGTACTGAATCCTAGGAACATGCAACAAGACGGCAACAACCAAATAAGACAATTATACACAGAAACGGGCGAAATGTGGAGGTTACTCAGATCAAAAGAAAATTTGGACATGAAATAAAAAATCGTCTTGCTAAAGCTTATACAAAGAAAACTACAGTTACAACGACTTCAAGTAAAGAATATGTAGTCTTCTTTCGTGGCAGTCGACTCACTGCCGATATACTCACATGAAAGTAATAAATCAATAGTTATACTTTTTCACTGGTATTTCACCCTTCCAGTAACAGTGCAAATGATCGGTGAAATTAACACAACGTATAAAATAAACTAGATCAAACACATGACTTACCTCCCATGAACACACTAGCTCCTAATGTACTCAATGCATGCACTACTCGTCCATTAGCTGTAGCTACGTTTGACGTTATGTACGCATGTGCGATGTGGGCACTGTAGTCGACTGCAAATCCAATGGCCATAACGAGGATGATCATAGTTACAGAATTCAGCGAAACATTCCAGATAACCATTAAACCAAATAACTCGCATATCAGGGCTGCAAAGTTCAACACCACAAGGAAAGTCACGGTACAATCCATCAGGAAGGGGCTTGTGACAACTAGCACCGCTAAGGCTGCGATAAGTAGATTCCTTACAGTTTCTCTGGTGGTAATGGCGTACTGCTCAAAGTATATGAAAAATCGGTTGATAGGAAAGGCATCAAGTTCCGATTTTTCTGTGATATCTTCACGGAGTGTGAGCATGGCGTTTTTATGAAAGGTGGAGCTAATGATACCCTTCATAAAACCAAGGATCCGAGAGGCTTCCAGTCTGGCACCATCCTCGGTAAACTTCAAATCTTGACTAAAATGAGAAAAGGCTGGAATGCGAAGGAATTCCTTCAGAGCGGGCAAAAAATTTGGCCCAGTGATACTCTTATTAGTTTGCTCAGCGTAATGGGAGAATTCGTCCATCCAGGATAACGAGCGTTTTTCGTAGTATTCATTCTCTGTGACGATGTTTGTCAGTGCTTTGATTTGCTCCTGGGTGGAACTCATCTTGTAATCGACCCCACCAGTCTCCACGATGCTCACTGGCATGGAAAGGTCGAAGTGATTTTGCTGAGCCATTAAAAATTGTTTGTAATAAGAATCATCTTTCGCGAGCATTCTCTCATCAAATGCCTCGTCCACCTGGGTGACTCCGTAAATCCCAGCATTAAGGAGGGCCAGCGAGATAATTATAACCACGCATTTTGTTGCTCGAGACATCAAGAATTTTCCCCAGGCCTTCATGACCCGATTTGACGTCTGTGCGACGGGCTCGTCCCAGGCTGGCTCTCCATCTTTGGGCCGAGGTGCCAAACAGCATGGAAAGTTGTCTCTGCGACCAGATTTAATTCTCCTCACGTCGTAGGTCATGACGGCCACAAAGAAGGTGACAATCATCAGGAATGATGACGTCACGGTAAGAGCGGCGTAGATGCAGAAATACCTTAAACAAAGATAAGGCAGCACCACTGATCAGTGTCGTATTCCACGTGCCAATGGCTCGTAAAATCGGTGGAAATTTTCAGTATATGAAAAAAATATATAATTTATTGTAGGGGCCATTCTAGTATTTATATCATTACTGGATAAACAATTAAATGAGAATAATTTACCCTTCACAATTGTCTGGAGACTGGTTGGAATATCTCTGAGCAAACCATATCCTTCAATTCAGCAATACCATTTAGCTGCTTTACGGGCCACTAACTTTTCCTCCTTTCTTCTCATTTTATATTTTCTATATAATTACTCGTTGGAATTCAAATGGTGGGTTTTTCAAGCAAATGAAGCAACTTGGAAAAAAGTGAAAAACGTTTGTGCTTAAGTTACGCAAATCTTGTCAAGAGCGCGCTATGATTTGTAAAAGTCCCCCCTAAAAGAGGGTTCTTATATTAGTACCGAAAACTTTGTAGCCACTCTTTGATTAGTTGTCTTGACAGTGCTATAAGAATCAGACAATATTCTTCCAAACTGCCATTGTAAAAGTACACTTATTCAGCAATCAATCTAAATGCCCTACCTTACAGCTGGAAACGAAGTGGATGTGCTGACAGCAAATGCTACCAAATCCGTCACGGTTGTCATTGTAACGGTTGTACCTGTGTGCCTCGTGACTGCTTTAATCTTTTTTATCGTTGACATGCCACTTGGTTGTCGATCAAGCTCATCTACCATAATGAACATATCGTCGATACCGATCCCAAGAACAAGGAACGGCAGGATTCCTACGAAACTGACAAACGGCACGCGGAACCACATGCCCAGTCCAAGTCCTGCTAAAATGCCTAGGGCCACTGCAAACACTCCTGCGATAGCAAGCAAGGAATGGCCGGTCAGTGGATTGAAGAACTTGCCCAGCATGATGCAAGCAAAGGAGATCATTAGAGTGAAAGTGATTGACACCAGTGTGACGTCAGACCCAGTGCTTTCATCAATAGCGTCATCCATGCTCCGTTCGCTTGAATAATGGACTTCAAAGCAAGAAAGTTTGTCCACCAACGAGGCCATCTTTTCGATAAATTTC